GCATAAAAGCCAGTCTGGGACCCATTAAAATTCAGTTCTGTTACACCCTTCATCGAGTTTCGGCGGATGTTTGGGTATCAGTCTGCTTTACTGGGAGAATCTACTTGGGAAGCTGTTATTTCGTGTGGAGAATCGTTCACTTCAATTCCAGAACGGCGAGTTATAATCACTCATGCTCTGGCCATTTGGGAGGAAACAGATGAAGGGGTATAGGATATACCAGCGTTCGTTACACCATTCCAAGGACCAACAAACCAGGAAACAGCCTAAATAGCCTGATATAGCTCTTGAAAAAGTCTTCTGTTTGGACAAAAGCACATTTTTCAGTGAATTTCCAAATGAATTTCAGGCAAACTAACTCAATATGAATTCCAAAGCCAAATTACCAGCACATTTCAGTTGATCCACGCTATCCAGGACATTCAAGTTTCCTTTTGTACTTTACTAGAGGCTATTTCCTGCAAATGTGTATTGTAAGATTTTCCTTTATCTACAGCCTAAATTATCCCAGAGATAAATGGCCCCTTAGGGACAATGCAATTTTAGCACAATTTATTTTGTGCAATCCACTTGTGAGTGTCACGATTCTGGAACCTAACACGCTAACAGGTCACAGAGAAAAAAGGGTGCTATACCGGTCCTTAGAGTGGCCGGGCTAAGCACACTAAGAATGGTCAGGAGACAAGCCAAGTAAAGGGAACCAGAAAACAGGAGAACGAGAAACAAGCCGAGGTCAAAGGAGTGGAGAAGACAGGATAATCGGAATAACGAGCCAAATAATCGGAAACCAGAGAGCAACACGAGAGAACAGCACTACAGGTATCACAAGACCACAACAGGGCACTGAGGGACAGGAAAGGTAAGTATAAATACCCTTGGTTTAATTCTGATTGGATAACTTCCAATCAGAATTAACAATCACACGTGGGGGATATCTATACCTCCCACTGTGATTGTGGTACTGTTTCTTTAACGCCGGGTCACTCACGTGACCCCGGCATTTGCATAATTCAGTGACCTCCCAGCGTGCAGCGTTATACATGCTGCCGCTGGGGGGCATGGAGGACGCAAGCGGCAGGTGGCAGAGAGGAGACGCCGCTCGCCGACAGGTAAGAGGAGGGGAGACCGCGGGCCGCAATGGACTGAGGGTGAGTGCTGCAAGTGCAGCCTCCCCTCCTAGCCACCCGCGGATCCCTGACATAACCCCCCCTCGAGGCCCGCCCAACGGGCGGGAAGCCGAAGGCTTCAAAGGAAACCGCGCATGAAAGGAGCGGATCGAAAAGGGCGCATTCAAGTCAGAGGCAGAAACCCAGGACCGCTCCTCAGGGCCGTAACCCTTCCAATCAACCAGATACTGCAACCGACCCCGAGAAAAACAAGAATCAAGCAGAGCAGCCACTTCGTACACGTCACTAGAGACAGCGCAGAGGGAATCTGGATGCCTGAGAGGACCAGAGAATCGATTACAGAGCAGGGGCTTCAAAAGGGAGGTTTGAAAAGTGTTAGGTATACGCATGGAAGGAGGCAAGGCCAGGGAGTAGGACACAGGATTGACCCTATGCAATACCTTATAGGGGCCAAGGAACCTGGGCGCGAATTTCATCGAGGGGACCCTGAGGCGGAGATTCTTAGAGGACAACCAAACCCTATCACCCGGGACATAATAGGGAGCAACACTCCTACGACGATCAGCAAATCTCTTCTGAGTAGCAGTTGCACGAGAAAGAGTAGCATGGACCTGATCCCACATCTTCCGTAAGGAGGTGAGGTGCTCGTCCAAAGCGGGTATTCACTTGTCGGAGAACACGCCGGGAAGGACAGAGGGTTGGAACCCATAAGCAACCATAAAAGGACTTAAGCCAGTGGACAAATGAGTCACAGTGTTCCTGGCAAATTCAACCCAGGGAAGGAGGTGAGACCAGTTATCCGGGTGTGCATTCGTGAAGCAACGTAAATATAACTCCACAGATTGATTCGCCCGTTCGGCCGCTCCATTAGATTGTGGATGATAGGAGGAAGTAAACGACAAGGAAATCCCCATCTCAGCACAAAAGCCCCTCCAAAACCGAGAGACAAATTGAGGACCCCTGTCGGATACGATATCCTGTGGTATACCATGCAAGCGGAAAACCTCTTTGGCAAATACCTGAGCCAACTGAACCGCAGAAGGTAGTTTTTTAAGTGGAATAAAGTGTGCCATTTTAGAGAATCTATCAGTCACAGTCAAAATTACAGTCATTCCATCGGATGAAGGAAGATCCACAATAAAGTCCATGGATAAGTGGGTCCATGGATTCTTGGGTACAGATAGAGGCATTAGGAGTCCCGGGGGTTTGACATTAGGGGACTTACACTGTGCACAAACACGACAAGCTTTCACATAATCCACTACGTCTTGCTTAAGTGAAGGCCACCAAAACTGTTGAAGGAGACACTTGTATGTTTTGGTAACCCCTGGATGACCAGCCGTTTTGGCGGTGTGAAATAAAGCTAAAAATTTCTTTCTATCTTTTTCTTTCACGTATAATCTACCAACAGGTGTCTCAGAGGGTGCTTGGGTTTGGTATGCCTTAATACCATCAAGGAAAAGAGACAAAATAACCAAACGGGTAGCAGCTATTATCTTAGACGTGGGTACAATGGGTTCAGGAGCGGGGGCAATAGACTCCAAAGGTTCGTATTGTCGGGAGATAGCATCAGCCTTGACATTACGGTACCCAGGCCTATATGTGATAATGAACTGAAAGCGTGAAAGAAATAAGGACCATCTGGCTTGACGAGAGGACAACCTTTTAGCATCAGCTATATAGGAGAGATTCTTATGATCAGTTATAACCAGGATTTTGTGTCTAGCTCCTTCTAATAAGTACCTCCACTCTTTAAAAGCCATCACAATAGCTAATAGTTCCCTGTTCCCGACGTCGTAATTCTTTTCCAAATCAGACAGTTTTTTAGAAAAGTAACAACAGGGATGGATGGGTTCGTTATAGGATAGCTGTGATAATACAGCTCCTACACCTGATTCTGAAGCATCTACTTCCATTATAAAGGGAAGGGAAGGATCAGGATGGTGTAGCACAGGGGCAGTGGCAAATGCCTTTTTGAGAGTTTTGAAGGCTTTAATGGCTTCAGGAGTCCAAACCCAGGGGTGCAAACCCTTTTTAGTTAGTTTCGTGATAGGAGAAATGACTGATGAAAAGTTTTTAATAAACCTGCGATAATAATTGGCAAAGCCTATAAATCGCTATATTGCCTTAAGGCCTTGAGGAAGAGGCCAAGACAATATGGCTTCTAATTTAGAAGGATCCATGCTGAACCCCTGTTCAGAAATGATGTACCCTAGGAATTGTACTGATTTCTGGTCAAATAAACATTTCTCCAATTTACAATAAAGACCGTTCTGTAGCAATCTCTTAAGTACCTTCCTCACATGGGCATGATGTGAGTCCAAATCAGGAGAATATACAAGTATATCATCGAGATAAACCACGGCACAGACATGCAGTAAATCTCTAAGGACATCATTTATGAGGTCCTGAAAGACAGCAGGAGCATTACACAGTCCAAAAGGCATGACTAGATACTCGTAATGCCCACTGCGTGTATTGAACGCTGTCTTCCATTCATCATTTTCTTTTATACGAACCAAGTTGTAAGCCCCCCTGAGGTCTAGTTTAGTAAAATATCTAGAACCTTTAACACGGTCAAACAACTCAGTAATGAGTGGGATAGGATAAGCGTTTTTAACTGTTATATTATTCAGGCCCCTATAGTCTATACATGGCCTCAAATCGCCCTCTTTCTTGGCAACAAAAAAGAAACCAGCACCAGCCGGAGAGGAGGACCTTCTGATAAAACTTTTACGTAAGGATTCCTGTATGTACTCCTCCATGACATGGTTTTCTTTCTCAGAAAGCGGGTAGACCTTACCCCTAGGAGGCATCGTTCCAGGTAACAGGTTTATGGCACAATCATAATCCCGGTGTGGGGGTAGTTTATCAGCTTCCCTCTTTTCAAAGACCAATGCGAGGTCTGCATACACAGGAGGGACAGAAACAGAAAGTGGTTTAGCTGTAGGCACATTAAGTAAACAAGTACTACACCACAACACACTACAATGCAATGTACTATACCACGCTGAAGTCACACTCGAGTAACACTATATATCAAGGGACGAGTCAGTTGTACACTTATTTTTCTTTTTTTCTTTTTTTCCCTTTTTCTCTACCACTCAATGAGCATTCAGGGCTGCACGTTAGGTATCCCAGTTCTTCTCCTGGTTTTTCCTTTCCCCCTAACACCCTTCTCATCTCAACCACAAACACGCAATTCCCATGAACAATAAACACGTTCCCAAGTCATACACTCACCCAGGGGCGGACTGACAACTCACAGGGCCCTCGGGCAGATCAAGGGCCCCCTACTTGGTGCAAAGCTTCTTCTTTTTTTTTTTTGGCTACGTCTCCTTCCCCTTCTTTGTGAGGCCCTCATACATAGATATTATGTGCGTGCTGCCCAATCATGTGTGTGGGTACAGGGGCTCTACTTAGTACAGCTCAGGGAGAAATGAAGGCTGTGAAGGTTGCCAGGAGTGGGTCTTTGCAGGGTGCAGGGAGGGAGGGGGTCTCTGGAGGGTGCAGGGAGAGAGGGGTCTGTGCAATGTCCAGGGAGGGAGGGGGTCTGTGCAGAGTGTAGGGAGGGAGTGGTCTGTCTGTGTAGAGTGCAGGAGTCTGTGCAGAGTGCAGGGATGAAGGGGTTCTGTGCAGGGTGCAGTGGGGGAGAGGGTATGTGAAGGGTGCAGGGAGACTGCGGCATGCAGGAAGGGGTTCTGTGCAGGGTGGGTATGTGTATATATATATATATATATATATATATATATAAATATATACGCACACACACTACATGACACAGTGATAAATGTAATTTTTTGTGTATGATTTGTCAGTGATTTTGCGTGTGTGGTGGGGGGTCTGTGCGTAGGTGTAAGTCAGTGATTATGTGTGTAGGTCTGTGATTATTTGTGTGTGTCTGATGTGTTTGTAGGTATGTGATTGTGCGTATATGTCTGTGACTATGTGTGTATGCGTCTGTGATTGGGTGTGTGTGGGTCTGACTATGTGTGAATGTATGTGATTGTGCGTATAGGTCTGATTGTGTGTGGGTATGTCTGTGATGGTTTGTGTATGTATGTGATTCTATGTGTGTGTGGATCTGTGTAAATCTGTGATTATGTGTGTATGTACGTGATTGTGTATAGATATTTGATTGTATGTATGTGACTGTGTGTATAGGTCTGTGATTGTATGTGTATGTCTGTGTGTGTACATCTGTGATTATGTGTGCATATGTGACTATGTATAGGTCTGTGAGTGTATGTGTCTGTGATTATGTGTGTATAGGTCTGTGATTTTGTGTGTGTGTGTGTGCATGTATATCTCTGGTTATGTGTCCGTATGCATATACATGTGTATGTATTTAGTAGACAGCTCCCTAATTTGGTATGCTTAAATATGGCAATTCCACATAATAACAAATGAGGGAGTTGTCTACTAAACAAAAATAAAATGGGTTTTTAAGTTTTATTATATAAACTAATTATATTATAGGCTTTATGTGTAGCCCAAGACATTTCCTCTGTGCTCAGCCAAAAGGCTGGACACCCACGATGTAAGGGGTTCTGTGCAGGATACATGGTGGAAGTGGATCTGTGCAGGGTACATGGAGAAAGTATGGGGGGCTGTGCAGGGTACATGGAGAAAGGGAGGCTGTGGACTGTACATGGAGAATAGGAGAGGGGCTGTGCAGGGTATAATGGAGGGAGGGGGGACTGGGCAGGGTATAATGGAGGGGGGCTGTGCAGGGTATAATGGAGGAGGGGGGCTGT